TTATCTAATAAATAATATGTACATATCTTTATTCACATTGTAAAAATCAAAGAAGAGAACGATAATTCTGAAGAGGTAGAAAAGCATACCGTTGAACAGGAAATTGAAGAAGAGGGAGAGTGTGGAGAAGAGGGAGAAGAGGGAGAAGAGGATGAAACCTCGGGGGATGACGAAGAAGAAGAGGATGAAACCTCAGAGGATGACGAGGAATCGGTTGAAGAGGAGGAGCCAAAACTCAAATACAAACGCCTTGAAGCAGATATTGGTAAAATATTAACAACTCAAGCAGCAAGTGCTATGGCCGTTTCAAAAAGACTTGTGGTATATTTAAAACTTTACTTCCTTTTCGTAAATCCTTACATTAATGGAATAATAGTTTTAATAATAATAATAATTTAAAGGTTTTAGGAACACATAATGGAGAAATATTTATACTTGATTTTGATGGAAATAGAATTAAACAATATTCATCGAATTCTGCTACAATCAGTGATATATCAATTGATGCATATGAAGAATATATTGCAAGTGCTTCAATAGATGGTAATTAAAAAAATTCTTTTTTTTTTTATGAAATTATCTGATATGATTTAAATGATTTATTTATTTATTTACAGGTAAAGTCATTATTCACAAATGGGAAGATGATTCAACACAAGTTTTCAACTATCGACGTCCTCTAAAATGTGTCTCATTGGATCCTAATTTTAGAGATACACAACAATTTGTGTCAGGTGGTTTAGCTGGCAATTTAATTCTTAGTGATAAAGGTAGTTGTTTGCATTATTTAATAATTAATAATTGTACGCTATATCTTAAATTGTTGAATCAAAAATCCTTGATATTTGAACACATAAATAAATATAAAAAGGATGGTTTGGTCAGAAGCAAGAAAAAATACTTCAACATTCTGGTGAAGGCCCAATTTATGCTGCTAGTTGGAAAGGATCATTAATTGCTTATGCCAATGATGAAGTAAGAGTTTTTTTTAATTTATTTTTCAATTACTATATGTAAACCCAAAATAATGATAATAATAATAACATTATAAAAAGGGTGTTAAAATATATGATGTTCAAACACAACAACGAATGTCATTTATCCAACGTCCTCCAAATAGTCCTAGAGCAGATTTGTATCGTTGTAATCTTTGTTGGCGTAGTGACACTCAATTATTGAGAGGTTGGGCCAATAATGTTCAAATATGTGCTATAAAAGTAAATAATCGGTGTTTTTTTTATTTTATTTTTTTGTAGAATTAAAATTGTTTTACATTGAATTTTATTCTATTTTTTATAGGATAAACCTAAAAACGAAATTGTTGCTGGCAGACCAATACAATATGTTGAAGTGACATTGTGAGTTTTATAATCATAATTTTTTTGATTACTTGGATTTTTAATAATAATTTAAAAATTTTTTATATCATCAAGGTTCCAAACAGATTTTATTGTATGTGGTATTGCACCATTCAAAGATATGATTGTACTATTGGCATATATAACTGATGATATTACAAATAACCCTGATTCAAATGATACACAACAATATAAACGTCCTGTGAGTAATACTTAACATTCATTACTTTTATAAAAAAATTTAGCAATCTGATATTAATAATTGTTATTGTTAGCATGCCAAACGTCCTGAAATAAGGATTATTAATGCATTTAATGAAGAGATATCAACAGATGTTTTGTCACTTCATGGATACCAACACTATCAAGCAAACGATTATACTCTTGACTATTTTCCGGAAGAAGATATGTTTT